TGTTGCAAGTGGAGAAAGAAGTTTTTCCAAATTAAAGAACTTTTTACGTTCAACTACAACACAAAATCATCTTAATGGGTTGGCCATTTTAGCGATTTAACATGAAATTGCTGATCAAAAGTTGTAATAAAAACGTTTGCGGAAATCAAATTTAGAAAGAAAAATTTCTTTTGGGTTACTTTATTTTATAGTTATGTTACGAGCAGTATTGAAAATTGGGCATTGATGATATTGACCGGACACTAACGTCAGCAGTCATATTTGCTGGCCAATATCGTTATTATCTGGGCAGTAACGAAAATGCCCATTAATCGGGGACAATGTTGATAATATTTTTTGTTTGCATCTTTGTCCGGCCATTAACGACATCGACCATCAATGGACAATGTTGAAAATATATTATTTTTTGCTTTTTGTCCGGCCATTAATGACATTGACTATCAATAAGTGGGTGAAGTTGATTTTAAAGAATTAAGTTGGTAGTGTTGGTAGTGACTTAAAATGTTTGACAGTGACCAGCAGTACATCGGATGTACGCGCTTTATTTGTACATCGGTCTCCTTTTGACAGAGTAGGTGAGCTGCGCCCAGGCCGTTGGTGTTTATGCCGGTCTGCGTAGCCAGGTATGGATTGAAATTTTCTGGTAGCGGCGAAGCCGCCACCCTACGAGAAGTCGGTGCTTCGTCTTCTTGTTGTCACGGCATTATTATTATTTGTTCATGTATGTGAAATTTGCTTCTGAAGTTTATAAAATACTACAGAAAAATACTTAAGTATTCCATTCCATCATCTGAAATGAAGTTAGGTTAGAATTAAGATGTACAAATAATGGGGGAAATATCCACCCAGACAGCACACCAAATCCTTTGGATATCTACTGAACATCCCAATATCCACTGAATGTCCAGTCCATGGTAGATATCTATTTTATATCCATGAAATGTAATTTATAGACATGCAAATGTCCATAAATAATAGTAATTATATAGCAAATTATTAAAAAAGTACGCCATTGTGGCTAATAGTACCGTTCAGATATTTAAAATTAATTTTTTTAAGGTGTATTCAATATCCCATGAACATCCACTAAATATATCAAAGTATAGGCGCGAACGCAAACCATCGTGGATATCCACTAGATGTTATTTGATTCTGCTTACTAAGTATAGATGGCGATACCACTATCGCATCTACTCATGGTCGACCCGCCGTAATTGAGTCCGATCGAAATGTGTGTCCTAATCACTCCATTAGAGACTGGAGTCGAGAATTTTCATTTATTGCTGAAGAGTCCTAATAAGGAAGACTTTCTCCTTAGTGGGCAAAATCAAAGGCAGAGTGTTGAAAATATTTTGAGTGTTGAAAATATTTTTTATCTCTGCTATTTTCTTTCGACGTTATTCAATAATCATTGGTTACTTATGAACCTCTACTAAAGATACCCATAAAATATTTTGCTGAATATCCGAATATCTTCTATATCCTGGGATATAGACGGACATTCGGTTGGATATATTGAATATCCACAAAATATATTCTATGGATATCTCTGTGATTTCTTGTATTTTCTGGAACCCATTAGATATTTTGCTGAATATCCATTAGGATATCTTCTATATTCTGGATATAGACGGATATTTGGATATCCATATTAGATCCACGGAATATTTCTGATATCCTGTGGATATATTGGATATCCACAAAAGATATTCTGTGGATATCTCTGGGATTTAGTGTGTTGTCTGGGCAATCAATCGCCCGCACAGAAAGACAGAAAATAGCGATGTAAACAAAAACATAACCCTGTATTTTATTCAAATCCAAATCGTTGCGCTTTGCGGCCCACACATAAGTGGGCGCTAACGATAACGCCCGGCAGAGTCGTAAAAAAGCTATGTCATTTATAGTTTATCAACATTGTCCAATTTAAGCAGATGTTTACGTTATTGGCAGGTTATTATCAATTATGCCCAATCAAATAGGAGATTTACGACAATGACCGGCCAATATTGTTAAAGATCGAAATATCATCTTTGACCGTAACAGTTATATTTTTATAGAATGTAAAATTTCTCTGTTTGGTTATGCAATAATTTTTTGTATAGCAATAAAAATGCACCTTATATGTACAAGTACTTTTGCCCTTTTTAAATGTTTGTTATGTATTACATATATTTTTTTAAATAAATGATTTTAACATAATTTTTATTTTATTTGAAAAAACTGGTTCATGATAATTTTAGATAAATGTAAATCAAATGGACTTTATGAACGCCTGTGTGCCATTTAAAAACAAACGCGAGACAATGTTAATCAAACAGATTTAATATACGCTATGTTGCGCAATAAAAAATATTCCCTGTATATACACTATGTGCCCCTAAGTTGGAATCATATGAAAAAAAAAATTATTATTAATTTTAGAAAAAAATCATAAAAAGTTCTGCATTATCTAAAACCTAGAATAGTCATCAAATATCAAATTTTTTCAGTGGTATACGAGGTTTGTCATATGCCGCCAATTTACGTAGACAGTTGGTGGCATGGGAAAGCTTTTCTATTACTAATTTTAGGGAAAAAAGTTGTTCTTTATAAAAAGTCAAGCATGGTCTAAAACCTAAAATACAACCATCAAATATCAAATTTTATCAGTCGTATAAAGAATAAAGGTACTTTACTCTTGAGTAAAATTCATATTGTTTGACAAACCTCGTATACCACTGAAAAAATTTGATATTTGATGACTGTATTCAAGGTTTTAGATAATGCAGAACTTTTTATGAAGAATAACTTTTTTTCCTAAAATTAATAATAAAAAAGTTTTCCATATGATTCCAACTCAGGGGGACATACTGTATATGGGGCAGCAAATTGTCTGGGGTGAAATGAAGGCTAGAGCGGGCCCTGATTTATGTTCTAGTTAGATTAGATTAGGAGTTGGACGTTATTTGTCTGTCCTTGTCCACCGCGACCTTTTCAGATCTATTGTGGGACTCCGTTTGTTTTAGAGATGTCGTCTAGCCTGGTCTTTTTTATTAGACTTAGTAGCTTTGACAGTGGCTCCCGCATGTAGTTGCATGCAATTGGCTTTTCTTCGCCCAATGTTAGAAACCTCATTCCAGCCAGGCCTTCACATTGGCACAGGACATGGAATGATGTTTCCTCTTCTTCTTCACAGAACCTGCACAAAGTTGTTTCTTCTGCTGGATTTATGACACTCATGTGCCTTTTGAGGCGACAGTGTCCAGTAAGAAGGCCTACTGTTATCCTAACGATTTGACGCTTTTGATCCAGTAGGTCTTTCGTGAACTTGGCCGATGGTTCCTTGATGAACTGTTTGGCCTGTCTCAGTCTTAGATAGTTGTTCCACCATCCCTGAGACTCTTTTTGCATCCATTGTTTAATGGATGTCATGGCCTTATCTGAGCCTTCTCGGGCTAATTCGTCGGCCTTTTCGTTGCCCTGATATCCTTCATGGCCTGGAACCGAGGCTAGGGTCACCTTATTTTGACTACTTAGCTCTGTCAGGTCTTCTAGACAGTCTTTCACCAGTCGTGATTTGATTTCTGGTGAGAGAATTGCCTTTAGAGCTGCTTGACTATCAGAGTATATGGCAATAGTTTTGCCTGATACTTGCTGATTTAATATTTCTCTTGCACAGTGTTGTATGACTATTAGCTCAGCCTGGAACACTGTTGCATATTTTCCTAAACTCAGCGAAATCGTTGATTTCGACTTGGGTCCGTAGATTCCAGCACCGGCTCCTTCCTTGGTTTTTGAACCGTCTGTGTACCAGACGAGTTCAGCTTGTACGGGAGGTCCCTATTTCCAGGATTCTTGGGCTGGTATTTGAATTTGAAAATTTCTTTCAAATTTGTATGTAGTTATGGCTCTATCAGTAGGCATAGCTAGAATATTATCCCTTTTTACTTGCTGATATAGCCTTGTGTGGTCGGCGCTATGTAGTTGGCTTATTGGGATGTTCTAGTTTATTAAATGTAAAATATTTGACTGGAAAAATTAGTGCCATACTAAAAAAAATTGTTTTTTGTCATTAAAAGAACAGATTATTTTCATATACACGGACTGGAAAAATAAGTAAGAAAAAAAATCACTGCTATCCTAAACTAAATGTAGAATTGCAGAATAAATCAAATGGCACGATTCTTTTTGTTTTTTTCATTTCTGTTCTAAAACGTGTGGGTGGGTGTATGATAAATGTTCGAATTATTTTTGGGGGGCTAATTTGGTTTTTGAGGGGCTTAGTTCCCCCCTAACTTCGCCCATGCTTGAGAGAGTTCAACTATTGGTTCCTGCTCGATGGACTCGGAACATATCACTTTTGAATGTAAAAATACACAGAATTAATTACGGACAAAGTGCGCTTATTGAACGTTTGTGCAAGAACTATGATACATTTAACGCGGACTGTAATATATTTAATTGTAATATTCTAGTGCTAAAAAGAGACTTGCAATTCCTAAACGGCTTAGTTTTACTCGTATCATCTAGTGGTGTGGTAGTTTTTCCTTTTTAAATATTTTATATTAGTTTAACTCACTACAATGGTTTGTGTTAGGTTAGATATACCTACTGTATTATTTAGAAATTACTTTCTATAAGTGTTACATAAATAAATAATAGCGTCCACTGAATTGGAGCTGTTTAGCTCGATGTCGCACACACAGTGAGGAGACGATTCATACTTTCAATAGAAATACATATTCAAATCATTATTATGTAAAAAAAATACAAAGTAATATACTGATTCTACATAACAAACCCTAGGTGAGACATTTTTAGAGCATTACCTAAAGTATAACTAAAATACAAACATATTGTGGATAGTTTAATTTAATGAAGAAACTGCAGAAACCTTTAAATGTTTATTAAAATACCATCTGAAAATACTTGGTTACTAATATTGCTAGTATAGATAAAAAAGTTATAAAGTAAAACAATGTATTCTAAATTAAAAACAGTAAACTATAATAACAACTTCAGTTAGTTCGCAACTGGTAGTCTCCGTTTTGTGTAATATACCTCACCCAAGGCAAAGCTTGGTAGCCACTTTTCTCAATGATTTTCAAGTACCTGACTTGAATTCCAGATGTAGTAAAATAAGGAATTTCAAATTTTACTTGAATAGGTGGTTTGCCTTCAGAATCTTCACATTCAACACTTGGTAGCCCAAAATGGGCTCTCATGAGATATTCTTTGCCACCTGGGAATGATTTTATGCTCCAAGTAATAGCATTTTGTTCAGGAGCATACTTAACGCTGCCAATGGTTGTCTTAAACTTAGGTGAATCAGCATCATGTGGCACTGGAATGACTATTTCAACATTGTTAGCAGTAGACCGTCTCTTGAATTGGGACTTTGCTTTAATCATGTACTCAACTCTGCTATGAGCATGTCTTTCTATGACAGATTCAATCCAAATCAAAGGCTTTACATGGGTATTCAGTCGGTATGACATTAGTTCAAACTCTCCATCAGGTGGAATAAAAGAGATGGTTCTGTCTATCTCAAATCTAGATAACCTAAAATACATATTATTCTTAAGTTAGTAATAAAAAATGTGTGTCAAGAGTCGATATATGTGAGGGAACAACTAAATACAAACCTGACACACTGATGGAACTTAACATCTTCCAATTCTACAGATTTCGACTTGCCTCTTCCTGTGCTCTCAAACAGGACTTTATCATTGAGACCTAATCTCAGTTCAGGCATGCCTGACAAATATACTCTCATTTTTATTGCTCCTACTATTTCACTCCTTAAAACATTGCCATTAGCATTTGCTAGAAGATTCACAGATTCTATAACATCTAAAAATACTTCATTTTTCCGATATTTTATGCCTTCTGATCTCCAAGACACAGCATTTGTTACTGCTACTGGGATTCTAGGTTGGATTTCCAACTTATGTCCCTCTTGAGTGATGTACTCTTGAAGAATCTTGCTATCTGTTGTTTGAGGATAACCAAAATCAAGTAGTTCATCCAAAAGTTCGTAAATTACCACAAAATTATCTCTTATACTTTCTTCTTCAAGTTCTTTGAAGTACTCTGTCATAACTTGGACAATTTTATGCAAAAATACAAATACAAGTGCAATATTTCCATTTTTCTTAGTAGTGCTAACTATGTAAAGGTTGTTGGTTTTAATATAAGAGAAAGTACACTCCGGTATTTGTAATATTGGTGTTAAAAGTCCCTCTTCTTCTTTTTCCATTAAAAGAGGCATAAATTTTTCAATAACTCCTAGATCAATATCGCCTCTGTAGTTTCTAGAGATCAGAACCTTTCCCTTTACATCCAAAATATATATTGCCGAGCAGGACATTGTGATCAATTCTTCTAAACAATTATTTCGAAAATCTAAGTAAATTGTTTTTAGTTTGGAATGTGATTCAGCCAATATGAGGAATGAGAAACCTACAAAAAACATTTATTGTATTGAGAAAATAAAAATAAAGTTACTTACAACATATTGGTTTGATATTCTAAAATAGGTTTGTATGTATTGATTAAAATTTAGCAAAATTACACGTATTTTCGTCAACACCTAACGCTAATTGGACATCTTGACAGATGACGTTGACATTTGATATAGATGACAAATTTGACAGATTCACGCCGTTCACGGTTCAGGCGTGTTCTTTCATTCAACAATTAGGCATTCCAACGACCTGTCAAACAATAGGTGCCAGGTGCCAGTCAATGAACTGGAGTGGGGTAGAAAGCCAATGTGCATATTGTATCAATAGAACAATATGCGACTCTATGGGCGCAGCCATTTTTATTTCTCATCTCACTCGGGAGTATTTATAATAACTATTTTCTGTTTCACTTTGTTATTGTTCAATCCACATGCTGGTGGATCAGACAATAACAAAGTGAAATAGAAAATGGTTGTTATAAATACTCCCGAGTGAGATGAAAAATAACCTGTCTTTGCCCATAGAGTCGCATGTCAAGCCTATTGACAAGCATTCTACCCCACTCCATTTCATTGCTCTTGCCCAATGAACTGGAGTGGGGTAGAATGCTTGTCAATAGGCTTGAGATGCGACTCTATGGGCAAAGACAGGTTATTTTTCATCTCACTCGGAAGTATTTATAACAACTATTTTCTATTTCACTTTGTTATTGTCTGATCCACCAGCTTGTGGATTGAACAATAACAATGTGAAACAGAAAATGGTTATTATAAATACTCCCGAGTGAGATGATAAATAAAAATGGCTGCGCCCATAGAGTCGCATCTTGTTTTATGATACAATATGCACATTGGCTTTCTACCCCACTCCAGTTCATTGCTCTTGCCTCGTATAGTAATCAAAATCAAAGTAGGTCTGTTCTGGTTTTGAGAAATAACGATCCACAACTGTCGGGCTCATGCGCAGTAGATAAAAAGTGTTCTGGTTTTTCTGGAACTACTTCGGATCTCTCAGTCCAGTGTTCTGGTTTCGTATCCGAAATAATCCGTGATTGTTGTAAACAGTCAAAAAGTGTTCATGCTTGGGAGTGTGGATCGACTCGGACTGTTTTGACCGCGCATGCGTTTTTGAAGTGTTATGAATATTGCATTGGCTTTTTAGACTATACGAAACGTATACAATCCCAAATTGTTTATTAATAATTTTTATATGCACAATATATCCCCTATAGTAATGTAACTGGGATTCAAGAAATGGCTTTGAGTTACGCTGCGGCCAGACACAGGTCTCATGGCGCTAGTATCGTTATTGATTTTTGACTTCGGCACGTTCATTGGTTGACGACGAATTCAAAACAATCTGATCGGAGCGTTACTCACTCCCACTCCTTCTCTTTGTTTAGATACTTATAAAAGAAAGAGATACCAGTTAATAATTTCTATTTCGAATCATCTTTCATTCTTTAGCGTTGAGTTTTTATAAGTGAAGCGTGAAGTGTCAGTGTTGACAAGTGATAATTTTTTGATTTTTTCTTCTACGAAATTTAATATTAATTTTGTTTCAGCGATATTTATTGTGATTTGTGTTGTTGTATTAAGTGCTTTCTTATTTAATATGGGAAACAAAACGTACAACAAACTCAGAAAAAGAGGAATCGAGGAGGGATTGCTATCTATGGCTGTCATCCAAGGGTCTGCGCCCTAGATAATACTTTTACAGTGGAAAAAGCCTTTAAAATTCAAGTATAACAATTTTATGTTTCCGTTTTCCCTTCTTTTAATGTAGGTGCCAATTTTGAGGTAAGTTTGTAATAATTTTTCAGTTAATACCTACCCTCTTAATATTATAATTTAACTATGATCTTATGCTTTCCTATGGACACGATTCAAGGAGGGAGTCCTATGGCTGTCATCCAAGCCCTAGATAATCGTTTTCCAGTGGCAACAGCCTTTAAAATTCAAGTATAATAATTTACTTTTTTCGAAGTAGATGTCCATTTAAACTAAATTTTTTTATTTCACTTATTGATGTTAGCATTTATATACAGTATCGGCTAATGAACACTTTCCAATACGCTTGGCTAGAATCGAAAATAAAACTAAAGGGTTAGCGCATTAGTTCGATCAGGAAACGAATAATATGAATGTTGCCTTGTGTGCTGTGTAATATGAACAGGCACACGGTGTGATGCATCCCCACGTAGCCGGTTGGCTACGTTCATAGTATTATATTCCTTCTCCCACTAATGCTAACTCTTTGTAGTTTTTACTTGGACATTAGCAAAACGTATTGTACAACATTCGATAGCTGCCACTGTATTATCACAAACATCTCTTAATAACTAAATGATTTCATTTAATAGTTTCTTTTTTTTTTTCAGTAAAATGGATATGGCTAGAGTTATCTTCGTCTTTAAAATATATTAAATAAGTTTTATAATTTTTCAAATAAAATACTTTATACAATTTTTTGTTTTTTTACCAGAGCCAATTTTTTTTCAGATCTAAACCTCTATAGGTAAAAAATAAGTGATTTGATAAAATTGAAAAGTATATTACATGTTCTTTTAAATGTGTTGTTAATCCAAATGCTGCTCTTATTGTAATAGCTAATAATAAAAGAATTAGTATTATTTTTAGCTATCAAAATAAAAATAGCGCCTGGATTTACAGCTCGTTTAATCGAACATGCAATATACTTCTCAATAATTATTGCCGAATGAATATATTTAAAAATTCCCGCCATTCCGCGGCTGAAAATTTACAATTTTGGCGGGAAATTTAAATTTCGCCTTTAAATTATATTTGAATTTACCGCCATATCGAGTTAGTTGAGCGGCCAGACACAGACGCATTCTTGCGCTGCAAACTTAGTGCCAACTCTTTAACAAAGGTATTTTTTAGCGAGTGTATGGTTTAAAATATTTTCGACTGTTTTAAACCATTTAAATTTTAGCGATGCAACTATGACGTCGCGGACGAAATATTTTAAACCAAAGCTAGAATTTTTGAACCAGTCGGAGGCATATGGTTCAATAACGGTTGACACATTAGAGATTCTGATTTTGGCTGTTGTATGTTGTTTTGCTCTGTTTCATCTTTGAACATTTTGATATATTTGACGTTTTGTTGATTTTTATTGATTTTTGATAACTTCATACATATATTATGTGATTCATATTCATACATTAATTGGTTATAATGTTATAATACAAATATGTATGGTCACCATAAACAGTTGGACGATGTTATCTACCTAAAGGTTACTCTTGATTATGAAACAATAATTCAATTAAAATAAGGTTAAAGGATTACTTATCAGTTGTACGTTTTTTGCAAACATAATTACGTAGTTTGCTTCAGATTCTGAAATTGCCAGTAAATATTTAAAAGCAATTAAACGTTCTTTGGCAGTTGATGAACTTTGAAAAGCCCAAAAAATCTACAGAAAATAATCGTTAGACAATCGCGTATCTGTTGGAGCTACGGAATAAATATGATGCCATGTTTATTGGCAAGAAAAATACCAAAATAAAATAATAAACGACGTTTCAGATTGCAATGTACCTATTAAAAACACTTCAATTTTTACTTAAAATCGGTATCACTCATCTTCCTTCATCTGATTTAACAAGCATTAAAAGAAAATACGATCGAAATCAGAATTATACCTAATTAAAAATTTTGTCCTATGACAGCTGGTTATATTTTTAAACCACCCTATTTTTGCCATCTATTAATTCATGACGTCACTTTAAATATGGTTTAAAAAATATTTTAAACCAATGTGGTGGCTAAAAAACAGCTCAAGTGAGATGCACTACTATAGGGGATATATTGTGTTTATAGGTTTGTTCTGGTTCTCAAAATGAAAACTGTTTTGAAACTGCGCCGGACCGTATGCGTAAAGGCAAAAAATCCCCGACTGTTTGAAATTCTTGGAAAACCAGAACACGTCATAAAGGTGTTTTGTTTATTGTTTATTATAATAATGAAGTTCCTTTTGAAAGCTCAGCTTCAAATAACATTTGCATGTATATGTTTATCATTATCATCACATTTCAATGGAATAAATAAAAACAGAATATTAAAAAATTATTGATTCTAAAATTGCTTTAATTTACAAATAAAACAAGAACAAGAGACATTCGTCCACATATAAATAAACAATTTGGGATTGTATACGTTTCGTATGGTCTAAAAAGCCAATACAATATTCATAACACTTCAAAAACGCATGCGCGGTCAAAACAGTCCGAGTCGATCCACACTCCCAAGCATGAACACTTTTTGACTGTTTACAACAATCACGGATTATTTCGGATACGAAACCAGAACACTGGACTGAGAGATCCGAAGTAGTCCCAGAAAAACCAGAACACTTTTTATCTACTGCGCATGAGCCCGACAGTTGTGGATCGTTATTTCTCAAAACCAGAACAGACCTTATATGTGGACGAATGTCTCTTGTTCTTGTTTTATTTGTAAATTAAAGCAATTTTAGAATTATTAATTTTTTAATATTCTGTTTTTATTTATTCCATTGAAATGTGATGATAATGATAAAAATATACATGCAAATGTTATTTGAAGCTGAGCTTTCAAAAGGAACTTCATTATTATAATAAACAATAAACAAAACACCTTTATGACGTGTGTTCTGGTTTTCCAAGAATTTCAAACAGTCGGGGATTTTTTGCCTTTACGCATACGGTCCGGCGCAGTTTCAAAACAGTTTTCATTTTGAGAACCAGAACAAACCTAGTATGTGTAAAAGCAGAGACAACTACGAGACGTGTAACTTCATATAAAAATCGGTTCTGTGGATCGCTCATGCAGTGTATATCGTTTTCTCTCTTTCTCTTAATATTTGTGGATATGACTATCTCTTTTACAAATCACTCAAGGCAATGGTGAGATGTCGCCACCATAGCCCCCTTCTCTTTATGTTCTGTCGTTCTGTCATGTATATATCTTGTCAAAAGTCGTTATTTCTAGCCTAGCCTAGCTTTTCGTTAGAGGCAGGCTAGGGGATCTTTAATAGGGAAATGCTTACTCGTGTTGTAGTACTGTGCACCACCCATAGATGGCGCTACTTACACAAAGTTTGCTCGTTGCATTCGTCGAGCAGATTCAGAGTGTATTCAGAGCAGGTTCAGAGTAACGCAAGTGTACGCAAGTTGTTATTTAAAACTTTCAACAGCTAAAAAAACGCTA